ACACACACACACACACACACACACACACACACACACACACACACACACACACACACACACACACACACACATATAGCTCAGAGAAATAATCAAAGAACCTCCAAACTCATAAATATGCAAGAAGCTGCTTTTTTAGGCGGAGGACTGGATGATGGTGATCACACCACAGACTCTGTGACTGGAGATGAGCACACCAGGGCCACAGTCTGCTAACACTCACTATTCATTCCAGATCTTAGTTGAAGTACATCTGCTGCTCGTTCGCAGCTCCTTGTTTTCATTCTTTGGCTGCACTCGGGTCACATTTCAAAATGATCCTTCTTTGTCTGATTCTGGGCCTCTCACTTCACCCACTGCCTGAAACAAGCCGGTTTAGTCCCCCTGGCCCTTTAACCAACTCACTTCTGATCGGCTGCCGAGAAAGGAAAGTGGGTGGGGCTTCTGTGCCTGAGACAACCATATTAGGGATATTGACTCTATGACATCATACACATCAAAGATAGAAAAACCTGCGTGAAACTGAGTGTTCAGAGCTGTTTGCAGAGATTATACTCTGACCTCATTGTTAAAAACTTTGTCCATGTTTAATATGAACATCCAGCTTCACTGGAGCAGATATTGGGCCAGCAGTGCGTCGGACATGCAGCACGTTTTATTTGGGACTTCTGAGCTGGATTCATAATATTTTATTCAGCAGCAGTGATAAAGATAAATGGTTAGTTTAGCTAGAGTGCTGTGATGTTGTGCAGTATTTGTTGGGGTTGGCATGATTGCTTGTTTTTTGATCAGTAGCTGTGATTTTTGTTAAGCATACATTAAGACACTGAATGATTGTAGCCTTTAAGGAGAGGACTTGATGCTTCTGTTTGTCGGCAGCTGTGACCTTGAGCTGTGAAAAAGCTTTTTTCCTGCCACAGAGACAAAAACGCTACTGACGGCTGAAAGTAATCAGCAGACCTGCTGCTTTATTACCACAGAGCCTGATGTCACCTCTGCGTCGGCAAACGGGACAGCGTGCAAAGAAAACGTGGCATGGTCCTTTAAGAGTATCGCCATGGAGACGGTGTGAAGGGGCGAGAGACGGCATGTGTCATAGAGAGAGAGGAGCGAGCGAGCTTAACCTAAAAGTGTATCGTCATGTAGACAGAGAGAGAGAGAGTCAGCAGACCTTTCAATTATTTATGAGGCTCCTCTGGAAATGGTGTCTGCAACACACACACACACACACACACACACACACACAGGGTTGATGAACAGTCTAATGTAATGCGGTGGTATGGCTGCAGCAGCCGAGCAGGATGGATGTCTCTGCTGCATTAACGCTCCCATCAAACTCTCTGCAGCTCCAACAGCTTCCTGCATCCACGACGCTTACCCCGTCAAAATAAGAGTCCCCACCTGTTTGTAAAGGACCAGTCCGTCCCTGCTTCGCCTGTGCAGGTGTGTTGATAAAGTATGGTCTTGTGATGGTTTCAGTCGAGAAAGTAAATCCAGAGCTGACTTTAATAAATCACAACTTTGTAAAGAGTCTGTGACCTACGAGGGAGTCACAGCCACACAGAAACGACCTCTGAGTATGAGGATAGTGAGTTAGACCGGCTTTGCATAAAATGTAACTAATCTGTATAAGTAGCACACACATAGTTTCTTTGTTCAGCAGTAGTGTGAGACCGGGCGTTTCTAATTTTAGCGATATTGATCACATGAAAAAAGAAGCAGACCTACATATTTGTTTAATGTACACGCTGAAGGAGAGATGACTGCAGGAGATATTTAGTAAGATGAAAAAGGCCCGAGCACAGAACCCTGTGGAGCTCCTTTATTCATTCTGACAGATTCATAGTTTATTTTCTGCCTTTCGCTCAGAGGCAGACGGAGACAGTTTGCAGGTTTGATGCTGTTTTCTGTCTCAGTTTATCCTCTGTCATCATGAACTTGGGAAGAGAAGAGCATCAGCACATAAAAGTGAACTTAAAAAGCTTTTAATACCTCATTAATTTAAGGTGCTGGGACACGAAGCGGTGACCAGGTCTGGACGTGAGCTGAGCGCGCTCTGTAACAGAGAACCGTACAGAGGAGCCAATCACAGCATCTGATAAATGAACGTCTGATGACTTTATTGTTATGATTGTTCAGCACCTGACGCTGTCATTGGCTGGCTTTGCATGATTCACAGTTCAGAATAAACCCAGAGTTTGATCCTCTGTCTGAAACCCGCTCCCCGCCCACTGAGCCAGCTGTTCTCTGATTGGCTGCTCCTCGCATATGGCCATGTTAAAGATGCCCTCTCTTTGTGACATCATAGAGATCCAAGGATAGAAAAAAACTGTGAAACTGAGCATACATACACTGAGCTGATTATAAGATGCTTTACATGGACGTACATTGATGATAAGGAGATAAGTGATCAGCAGACTGCAGGCACAGATTCAGCCTCAGCTTCTTCTCCTCTGGGTTCAGCTGCAGCTCTGAGCTCTGTTTTCCTTCCACCATCTTTCTTGCTGTGTTGTGCTGTGTTTCATTCTTCTTCTTCTCTGCCGTGCACCTAAAGGTTCTTATCTTTAATATAAACACAAAAAGAAGATCTCCAGAGAGAGCCGAGCCTGCTGACAGCTGATTGGTTCATTGATCACACAGGGAAACGTGGATGCAGTGGGATGGACCATCTGTCCTTCAGTGCAGCACCCCCCCATCGTCACGCCCTGACGCCTGCTCTGCGCCCCCTGCTGGTCGCACGGGGAACAGACTGCAGCAGCTCGAGGCTGCAGCTGAAAAACAAACACGCATCCTCAGCATCGGAGACAAAAGGAGGCTCGACGGGGCGAGCCCAGCTGCTGGTCAGCTGTTTGCTCTCAGCCAACGCTCTCCAATAATCAGAGGATATGAAGCTTCAAACATGACGATGTACGTGTAAACAGACTGAGCTCACAGAGGCTCTCAGCTCCAGTGGAGATTATTTTTATAGGAACCTTCATCATCAGAAGCAAATGTAGAGATGTGGAAGGTCACTGAGTGTTTATTTACTGCTGTTCATTCAGATGAAGAGAACAACCTCGTCTTCGCACTTTAAACACAGTTTAAAACTGTAATCAGTAATAAGAAGTGATGTCACAGAGATGGGATATCCTTACATGGTCATCATCTTCAGGCGTGCTCCACGCAGAAGCCCCTCCCACCTTCTGTTTAGTCTTTGAGTTTGTGAAGGGACGTGACTAAAACAGCTTGTTTCAGACCGAGGCTCGGTGTGAGATAAATAAGGATTATTTTGAACTTTAAGTCATGCAGAGCTGCTGTGGTGGAGGCCAGAACGGAAAGACGGAGCTGGAAATGATCAAAATGAGGGAAAGATGGGAAATAAGCAGCTGCTGTTGTTGTAACGGTGCAGAGCTGGAACATCTGCCGGCACCTTAATATTATTTATTTACATACATAAAGTATACATGAAGATTTTATGTAAAGTACTTTCAGGAAAATCTTGGTATTGATTTGGATGTTTAAAATATTTACCATCACTTTGCTGTCATTAGAGCTGCATCCTCGCCCTCCCTCATCACTAACACGCAGCCGGTCTCCTCCGTCAGAGCTGCTCCGGAAACCCCGCTGGGATCTGCATCCAATCATCTCTGCTTTCCTAAATCAATACTGTGACATCACGGAGGACTTAGATTTAGAAACAGGACTGAGAGGAGTTACAGGTTCCAGCAGATGTCTGGTAGTCTTTGTTTTTGGCACAGCAGGGGGCCAAAGGGCGTACTGGGAGCCAGATGACCTCAAACACAGACTGGATACCAGAGGATTTCCAGTGTCTCTCTGAAGTTCATGTTTGAGTTCTCTTGAAAAATCACAGGTGATCACGCAGGTAGATAAGAGGGCGTAGCCTTCCTGATTACAGGCCAGCTTAGATATCAAAGAACCAGTTAATAGGATAGTATCCTGGGAGAATGACAAAGATTATCAAATATAGCAAATAATGTAGATTTCAAAATAAATAGTAAATAAACCCGGTCCTAGTTGGTGTTTGGAGACAGCCCACACGAGCCTTTGACTGGAGCCGTGACAGATCCACACACAAACGTACTGAGAGGAGAGGCTCCTGGCACTTCAAATACACCTGTGATTTCTTTGAGCCAGAAATGATTAAGTCTGCCTCCACAGACTGTACAGGTGCTTCACACGGACACAGGTACCTGCTAATCTGTTACATCCAATTAAAATCCTGGAATTTTACTCAAAAAAACTGGAGCTCAGACTTCATAGGTGGTCTGTTACCACAGTGACCTCACAGCAGCCACATTATTGGTTGGATGATGTCATTAAAAAGGCTCCAACAGCACAAAACCAGTCCAGAGGTCCAGTTCAGGTGAAGCCTGACACCCACCTGTGTCACCATCCACCTGTCAGTCAAAGAGGCCACGCCCCTATAATGCAAACTGTGTTACTGCTGTAGTTGGTTCACCTGAGATCTTTCTCTCACTCCTCGTTATCTGGGGACTCGTACCTATTTTTAAAAGTTGGATTTAGAAGCTAAAATAAGTAACAGACCTGACAAACGAGCCTTTCGTGCTTCATAAACTTGCTGAGGTCTGGTTTACGCTGCTTTGCATAACCAGGAGCTGCTGCAGAAACCAGCTGTGTAACCTGACCCCCCCTCTGTGATTTATCAGGCCTGCAGCAAACAGTGACACAACTCGTGCTCAGGACAGGAAATCATACTTGAAACTCACTCACGGACCGAGTGAGTCAAATGCGCAGCTGGGCGGGAACACGAACCTCCTGACGTCTGAAAACCTTTGAGGAGGCGACACACGAGCGCTCGGTGTTTACTACGACTGTTGGCTGTTGTCAGCGTTTCTCTCGGTATTAATGTACCAGCAGCTGCGCGTGGTCACGTGGAGGCGTGTGCAGCACTCTGAGCCTGTGTTTAACAGTGACTGGCTCTCGGCGACAGATCCAGTGGCTGCCTCATCGATTAGCGCACTGATTGACTGACTAAGTGACTGGAGCTTCAGTCTCAGTCAGCTTTCTGCCTGCCATGACCCGTTATTACAGCCTGTTTCGGCGTCTGCTGTCCAGAGAGAGTAAAGGAGAGGAGGCCGATGAAGAGGAGGGCAGCATTCACAAAGACAGCAGCCAGCAGGGTGAGTCCTCAGGAGACACGGCGCCCACCTGAGTCCTCTCTCATTCTTTAATGCTCACTTTGTTTTGTAGTGATCAGAGCTGGTGAAAGCAGAGGAAGACTCACAACTCAGAATCATGATGTGATTTAACCTCACAGTTACCATGTCCGCCTCTATAATCTCATCATTTACTTTAAATAACAGAAATATGCACAAACATCTGTCCCCGAGTCCGGTCGCGCTGACTTCTTTTATGTTGCTTCTGTCTTTTGTTGCATGAAGCTGCAGAAACGTCTTTTTTGGGGGGAGGTTATGTGAGAAGGTGTTTCTGATTCAGAATAGACTGAAGAGTTTTAGAGGCCACATTAGCTTTGGGAAGTTTGGGACCCTTGTTTGTCTCCTTTCTGAAGCTGAACCCTGAAACTTTCCAGAAGAGTTTGAGATCGTCTTTCACAAACTGGAAATGTGTTCTGGAAAGTTCCTGGTGTGTTTGCAGCAGCAGGGTGGAGCAGCTGAGGGAAGTGCTTGATGGAGGTTTGCTAACAGGACGGGCATACAGCAGAGTGTCATCTGCAGATAAACTGACGTTTAGTTCATGGAGCATGTTGTTAGCATAAATATCACGAATACATGAGATAAGCAGAGGTCCAGAGCTTTATGGTACACCATCACTTAAGTGTAAAATATGCCCAAAACCAGAGACGTCACAATAATCATGAACCTACATTCTGACTGTGACCATCGTAAAGCATGCAGCGAACCAGAGAAGAGAGATGATGTTTCTCTATAACTTCTTTTACACAGAAACTGATATCCTGTTCAAGTTAATCAATCAAGAGTCTACCTAACATGGTTTTTGTGTTGTTATTGAGTTTATGCCATTTTTATTTGTTTGTCTGCCCAGTGTTTCCATGTCTGTTCTTCCCAAACACAGTAGTAAAGCTGGATGTAAATGTGAAGTTTTACTGTCGACATTCATTCAAATGGCCACCAGGGCGGCGATATTTGTGGTTGCAGAAAGACTTCTGGTACTGTATATGTGTGAAGAAGGGGAAACGGCTCTCTGCCCTAAACTAGTTAGCCAATGAGCATGCAGTTTCACAGTCACCATCATGGGGAAAATGCTGTGCTTGAGGTGTCATAGCACAACTTTGCTAACCATGTAGCGTCGCAGTGGGCGTGTCCATTTGTTATATTGCACTTGGCTCCTCCCTCTGTGCGCGTCTTCCTGTTAAGTGTTTGTCTTTTGGTAATTTTCTGTTGGTTTTCTCGTCATATTTCAGTTTTTACTTCCTGTCTGTCACTTAGGCTGTGTCCCAATTCAGGGTCTGCAGCCTTAAAGGCCGCATTTTAAGGCCGATTACGTCACAGCGACGCGACGAAGGCTGTCCCAATTCAAAGGCTGCTCGAAATGCGGCCCTCAAATGCGTCCTTCATTTCCCTGAATTTTAAGGATGTGGCGGTGTAGACTTCGTGGCCCAACATATCCCAGAATGCATAGCGTGGCGGTGGGTTCTGATAATTTTGCCGAAAAAAAACGGCGGATGAGTTGCGCCCGAAGAGTAAACTTTAAGTGCTGAATATTATGCCACTCATTTATGTGCAAATGTTTAATAACGAAGAACATTAAAACATTCCTGTTGGCCACATGTCGGCAAAGTCATGTGACATTAGTGACGTTTGTACTAACTTGGTTTTAAAGCCTTTACTTTAAAATATACGCCGTCCAATAGCTGAGCTTAATCTCACAGAGAATGATCAAAGCTCATGTAGAAACAAACACATGAACAAAAGATTGTCTCCTTCATTTCTGTCAAACACAGCTGTATGACACGTTTCCAGCTGTTAGTATCATGGTTGCTAGGCAACCTGGGCCCCATTTCACAAGCCTCGCACTTCCGGCCTCAGCGGTCTTTAAGTACACGGCCCTTGAGGATCGTTGAGGCTGCAGACCCTGAATTGGGATACAGCCATTATCTTCACCTGTGTCTCACTTCCTGCCTGCTTCTTGTCCTGCATCATTGTTGTTTCTAAAACCTTCTGCAATATTCTGTTTCATCTCACTTTTTGTATTTTGCATTTATGTAAATACTTCAAGATTCAAGAAGGTTTGTTGTCATTTTGCAACGTATTTATCAAAATGCACAGGCTGAAACAAAATCGGTGAAAAATAAGAATACAGTAATAAAAAACCAAAGGAAGGATAAATAACAATCAAACAGCAGCTTCTGTAAAAAACCACACTCGCTCAGCTGGCAGCGATCCTCTCACAGAGAGGGATCACTTCTCGGAGCTTGTGAGTTTTGGACGTTGTTGCCTCGTTGGAGGACTGCGCTGACGTGCATCTCTGTAGTCATCGCTTTGGTTGAATTCCCACGGTCCCTGTCTGCAGAGCCAAAGAGCCACCAGCACACAGCACCAATCCCACATGTATCACGACAGGTCAGCAAAGACTGCAACGTGGTAACAGCCTGCAGTCTGACTGTAAACCGTAGAAAAGAGGACAGCGAAGCAGAGACGGCTGATTTGTTGCAAACCAAGAAGACGATAAGTCAGGATAAGAGTGTGTGACGGGGGGGTTAATGTGAAAGTGTGAGGCTCTAAATATTTAATCTTAAGTTTGGTCAAAGTGAAACAAAAGCTGTGAAAACAGAAAATCGATACATGTCGAATACGTCGACACGTCATCAGCTGATCTTTAGGTGAAGACTACACGTGACTAACACGGCACACCTGCTGCATGGATTTATTGTGTGTCTGATTGGTGTGTTGTTGTGTTTTTGCGCTTGCTTGGATCCCATGTTGTGCTGGAGTTGTTGCAGGTCGAGGTCTCTGTGCTGCAAAAGAAAGGCAAATGACATGCAAACACCTGAGTGTGTGACTGCAGGGACACAACCTGTGCACACACACACACTTCAGTAAAACACCTGCTGCAGTGAAACCTGCGACTCGTATAAATGACAGAAAGCTCACAGAAAACAATTTTTCTCATGACGCGCTTCGTGAGCAGGTGTGTTTTTATAATGGCGTTTAGCGTGTAGAGGAGTGCCTGTGAAGTATCAAAAACCAGCTTCTGCAAATGTTACTGTGCGTCCTCGCCGCGTCCTCGCCGCGTCCTCACATGTCCCGTGTTCGTAGACGATTATAAATATCAGCGTCAAGGTCTCGGTGTCTCACACCTTCATCAGCTGATGACTGACAGATTCTCACATCACCAAAATATCTGCTTAAATATAAACACACAAACCCATCAGCTGCTCGGCAGCAGGACAGAAACCTGTCGTCCTTCGTTTAGAGACAGCAGGAAGTCTCAGTTAAACCTCACATCTGGACTCCAGGTGTCCCCCCCCCCCCTCCAATAACCAGTCCTGATGTTTTTGGAATAAGCTGCAGTTCCTCTAACGTCCACTGGGGGTGTCAGTCCCCCCAGAACTAAACATGTTTACAACCTGATAAAACAAACTGGTTTCGTCTCTAGAGATCATTGCCTGTTTATAATTACCATTTTTAGGGGCGTGGCCTGTGTGACTCGAGGTTTCCAGCAGTTTGCAGAAGCTTCTGTGACTTTATTTGAAAGTTTTCCAAGATCATCCTCTGACAGCTGGGAGTCGAGCTGAAGCGACAGGCTGATAAAACACAGAGTTTATTCCAACAGCGCAGAGCTGAAGGCATGATGATTGACGGAGCATCCACAGTGACGATAAGGCTCATCTCTAAACTGAAAAACTACTTTGGATAAGTGTGCCTAATAAACTGGCAGTGCGGGGGGAGATTCTGGGTCAGTTTTCTTGGAGTTTCTCGTTTTAGTTTTGAGTTTCTGTGTCAAACAAAAAGCAGCGAGAGCAACATTTAAAGGCCTGTGACAGAAACAGAACATGCTAACTAAAATTAGCCCACACACTGTGTGCGTGTGTGTTGTCTCCGTTATATTTACAGCTTCGTGTATTTCTGTCTGAGCAGCTGTTAGTCTGCTCGGCTCAGTCAGCACTTTGCATTTCTGCTGCTCCGACCCGGAGACCCGTCCATATCAAGTGACTCCGGACGGACTCAAGTAGAAATAGCGCACACACACACTTCTTAGGAAAATGTCAGTTATTAAAATAAATGCAGACGCACAATATTCAGTGTGAGCACCTTTATTCTTCAGCTCTCTGTTGTCCCGTTAAGCCGTCTCAGGAACAGTTCTCCAGGCTTCTTGGATGTTTCTGCCCTTTGCGCTGTTCTCTGTCAGGATGATCTCACACTGCTTCAGTGATGTGAGGTCCGGGCTCTGGGAGGCCGACCCATGACCGACGTGTGCGTTTCTATCCAAGTGTGCTTTCACTGCATTAACAGTGTGATTGGGGTCATTGTGATGCTGAAAAATGAAGCTGCTGCCACTCAGATGTTTCCAGATGTTACTGCATGATGGCTCAAACTCTGACCTCATAATTCATCAGTTTGTCCAACACCGCTGACTGACACGCAGCAGAACCGTGACAGAGTCTCCACCGTGTTTCTCTGATGTCTGTAACCTCTTTGATGGACCTCCTCCTGACCTCCTCTTGACCTTGATGTGCGTCCATCTCTCCATCAGACCTGTTCCTCTGCTCAGTGAAGCGACTTCCTGACAGCCGTCCTTCCGCTGAGAGCATCTCTGATGAAGCTTCAGTGAAACAGTCGATCACCGTCTCTCAGCTCCTGTGTCAGGTCCACCAGGTCTGCTGTAGATCTTTAGTTTTTCAGACTGGACCACGTGGGTCAAACTGAAGAAGCAGAAAGGCTCCTTCATCACAAATCTAAGCACCTTCAGCATCATGTGGAGGGAACACGTCACTGCTTGGTCGGCAGCTCGTCACAGATTTATCTTTCATGTTGACTTCCTGTTTCTAATTCAGTTTGGTTTCTGATAGTTTCCAGAGTTGGTTTCTTTTTTTCAGCTCCGTTTTTATTGTTTTACAGTTTTTACAGTTTTAGTTTAATCTCATAAACCCACATTTTACTCACAGTAGAGGAAACACTGTGAGCTCATTTTAAATTTG